CATATAACAGTTATCCACTATATAACATTCAACAGATTAAAAATATTAACTGCATAAGCCTAGGCCTAGATCAAAATGACAAACACTACTCGTATCGTCAAAGTGCCGTCGCTTCGGAAACCGCTCGGATGCTGCCTCCGATGATAGGCGAATGTATAGTGTGACGTCATATCATTTTGAGGGATGGAATCTAGTGCTGACCGATAGAAAACAACAACTTTTTGGCACTGCGGCAGTGCCGATAGAAAACGGCAGCTGTTTTCGCACTGCGGCAGTGCCGATAGCCACTACTGTTTTTTATACTCAGATTTTATTCATTCTCAGCCATTCACACCGTACCGGCATGTAGCGTGGCGTGGCGAAGAGTATCGGTTAGTTTAGCCTAAGATTAAAGAATAAATATATTCTCTTTTATTTAGATGCAGTGGTGGTGTGCGGTCCATGTTATCTTATGCTAGAATAGAGAGGGTTATTCATTCCCAACCGCACTTTTCTTTCGATGAGGAGTAAGGCCTAGGCCTACCTCCTAACTAAGTAAGGGCCTAGTTTTTTAGGAGGGTCCTAGGTCTGACTGAGGTCTTAGGCTGCTTAGGGCCTACCTAGGCTAGACTCGAGTCCTAAGTAGGCCATGAGTAAGGCACAGGCCTAGGCCTAGTTGTTGTGTCCCTGTAGTGCTGGGACGTATCTAAAATTTACCCGTAGGCCTAGATGTAACAGGCCTCGGAAGGGCCGGGAATTTTATACGTTAGAGAGTAGCCGCGGTTTCGGGTGTGTAGGGCCTTAGGCAGCCTGGGCCTACCCAGGCTAGGGCCGGCCTAGGCCTGCTGCCAAACCGGGTCTGGTCCTACCAGCCTACACTAGGCCTAGGCATTCGGTCAGCAACAAGACCTACTGTGTGTTTTTGGTAATTAAAAAATCGCCTACCGGTACTGTAGGCCTACCATCATTTTTTATTAGAGATCACGGTATAAATTACATAAATAATGAAAATTTAACCTCAAACCACACAACGTTAAGGCCGAGGTGGCAGCGCGTGTGAGTGTGTTGCGTGAACATTTGTGAACTGTAAAAAACATGCCAGTTCATGAGCCAATGCATGGAAATCTGATCTACTACATGTATTCATTTTCTTATTAAGGCATAATCTCTGTTTTGATATTGAATAATTAAATTCTATCAATTAGATAAATCAATCAATCAATTTTCTTTTTCTGTGATCAATCTGTCAATACACTTTTTTTTCCGCACTTTTTAAACTTCCATTGAAATTTGCCTAGTGATACGCATGCCTGTAGTGCTTCTATCAAGCAAGCTCATCTCCTTGGCCTAGCTCTCATGCTTATCCAATTCAGACCTAGGACCTTCAAGTAGGTCTTATCATCCAATCATTTATTAGCGGGGCATTTTACCAGGACACTATGGCGGACATCCTGGCTAAGTCCCTGGAAAGGGGGAGGGGGGCCAGGACTACAATTGAAAAGTGCATAAGTAGTAGTACTGTAGGCCAGACCTACAGTAGACTAGACGTGTGTGTAGAATAATACTCAGATAAGAAAGTATAATACATACGCCAACCAAGTATTGAAATGCAAGCCATTGTGTTGGGATTCAATATTTCGACATTAATTATGTCATAATGATGACATGATTAATGTCGAAATATTGAATGCCAACATGACGTGCATTTCTGTACTTGGAATAATATTTTATACTTTCTTATCTGAGATTAATCAGTGGACGTGACCTTTCAGTTTTTAGAATAATACTACTATAGTTTTCCTGAAGTCGGCTGGCTATTGGTATCACCAAACACACCAAAATACAGTAGGCCTAGGGCCTGGATTTACAGTGTTAAAAAGAAAACTCATTATTAAACTGGATCTGCCAAAACTGATTTATTTAACTTCAGAACCATGACATTAAGAATGATTGATTCTCTATCCAGTGACCAGTGTACCTTGTCGAATTCCTGTTTGCCGAGTCCATGGCCACTCTTTGCCAGTTCACCATAATCATGCCAACCCAGTTTGCTGAAACCCAATTTGCCGAAATTTGCTGTCACCATCGTACAAAAGTACAAAATATTGTGCTTTTGAAAACATGATGGGTGGGTCATCAAGGATCCGTAATACTGTGGGAAAAAAAAAACTCAAAGCCATGGTTGTCAGTGAAAATTAGAAATGAAATGCAGGGTTAGGCATCACATCATACCTAGTAGGGTAAAATACCATATGCGCCGACTAATGCAACTTTATGGAATACTTCCCCGGGGAGCTGTATTTGTGTCCTATATGTAATCCAATGACGCGATAAGTTGTCTACAATAATTATTATTATTATTATTTACTACATTATTATTACTGTATTATTATTATTATTATTATTATTAAATAAACTTCATTGTAAATATGCTTTAAGACATTTTATCTGATAGGCCTATTTAATAATTATTTTTGTTGATAGCCAATTTGTTATTCAACTTTGATTTACAATAAGACAAAAAGAATCGTTAAACTAAATTATGAATACACAGTGATCGCAACACGTTACTACAGTATTAATGTTTCACTAACTTTTAATTGACTTTCGGCAAACTGGGTTTCGGTAAACTGGGATTCATGGTTTTCGAGTCGGCAATCTGGCATTTGGCAAACTGAGTTTCGACAATCTGGCCTTGATCCACCTCATTATATGGTGCATTAAGTGTTTCTGATTTTCTTTCCAGAATTTATAGTATTGAACAGAGTCAACTGCTAAAATGGGAATGCAGAAGATCTTGCGAGGTGTAATGCAGTACCGGGCAACTGTGAAGCCTGGTATAGTAAAGCAGCTTAAGGCAGTCAGTGACCATCCTAAGGTTGGTTGCTATTCATTTTTTATGTTCTTCTTTTCCTAACATAGAATGGAACATTTGGGATTTTGGGCTTTTCTGAGTCATAGAAGGACCTTTTTTGAGGCTTAATATATGAAATGAAATGGATACTCTAATTGCACTATACTAAAAATGTGTATTTAAAGCCACCACTACTGTTTTTTTGATAATTTAAATCCATTTCAACATTTTGAAAATATAATCCATAAAGTACTTTAATAAATTGTATATGAAAATTATAGATTTTATTTATTGTTACATGAACCAGATTGTGTTGTACAGTATAATTCTTTTTCTATTTCCAACAAATTAAATTGTATAATTTGCAATATTTCATGTGCTATCGTGGACACTTAATCTATTGGGGGACGATGGACCACTGTGACTTGTCAGGAAAAAAGCTGGCACCACATTTGGACAACTTTGCATTTATTTATTTTTTTTTTGTGCAGCCCAAAGCTCTTGTGTTCTCTTGTATGGATAGCCGAATGCTTCCAACCCGGTTCACACAGACGGACATTGGAGATATATTTTTTGTTCGTAATCCTGGGAATGTGGTTGTGCCAAGTAATTTATGTTCCTTGTCTGATTCTGTAGAAGGGCCAGCAGCACTGGATATGGCATGTAATGTAGTAAAAGTTAAGGATGTTGTCGTACTTGGTCATTCAGACTGTAAGGTCAGTGTTTTAACCATTGATCGATTAGGCGATTGATTAGGTGATTGAATGATGAAATAGGCCCCGTTCCCACTCTGAACTTGTCCTGCCGCAAATGTAAATTGAGGTGTTTTTGCACATCATGCTCTTTATAGAGCACCCATATTGTAATTTATGTTATGAATTATCATTTTTTTGAAATGAACATTGTTTCTAAAATAATTCCCCCTAATATTAAGGCATATTTATTATCTTTGAATAGTTTTTTTTTCATATTGTGGGTTATTGATTATATTGTTTTTGCATGCATCAAATAGAAAAAAAAAATGAAATTTTTCCATACAATGCAATAATAAAAAGATATAAAAAGATACTGTACATTATAATACAATTGAAACAAAAAGAGTGCATGGAAGGCAGCTACAATAAGTTCTGCAGAACACTCACAGAGCTTCAGGATGTACAGTACAGTAGCCACCATTTTCAAAAGTTGAAAAATGGCCAGTACCATTTTGTATTTATTATTTATGCTTTTTATTAATTCATGTGCAACTAGTTTTAATCTACAGTAATCCTGCAATTTTTAAAATTTTTAACTGAATTTAATTATTAAATACCTTGCTCTATTTTTGCATTTCTTTACTTTTTTATATTCTCATTTTAGTGTTTCATGTTAATATTTAAGCATTAGCATTGAATATGTAATGTGGTGTTTATGTAAATTTCTCTATAACTTTTAAATCTTACCAAGTAAATCAATGTTCTGTTTAAATTAAATATATTACAAACAATGGCTATGTTCTCACACGGCAGCTAACGGTTAGCAGGATCCGGATCCTGCTAACTGTTAGCTGCCGTGCGTTTATGCAAGAAAATCCCGATCTGGATATCAACAATATGATTATCGAATCACTGGCCAATAAGAAACTGGAAATTGTAAAAGCATACGTGTGTTTGGTTGATGATAGAAACGCCCTCAACTTGCTAACCGATAGCACTTGCTAACCGTTAGCGGTATCTGGGTACCGCTAACGGTTAGCGCTAGCCGATCGGGCGTTCTCACGCGGGTGCTAATGATTAGCGCTAACGGTTAGCTCCCGATCCGGATACTAGGGCTCTCGTGAGAACCAGGCTAATAAAGTTTTCTTGAATCTAATCTTGAATTTGAATCTTGAATCTATACTGATATACACCCCAAGACTACAAAAAAGAAATCACTTTTGAAAATTTGTTCTTCGTCTTTGATTACAGGCAATGAATGCTTTGTATTCACTATGCTCATGTACAAAACATAAAGATGATGATGAAGTCCCACCAGACTCGCCTGTTAGCCGGTTTCTCAATCAGGTAGGCATGGCAACGATAGAGAAGTTTGAGGCTGTCAGGAAATGTGAGCCAGGGGCACTGCATTTCAAGAGTGAAGTGCCTAGCCTTTCATTTAGAGCATTCATAGACCCCGAGAAACAGTTGAGTCTCACAGACAAACTCTCACAGGTATGCTTGCTTTTTTTTTTCATTAGTCAATTGTTTTACCATTTTACGTTACCAACCAAAAAAAAATGCTTTTATGGTGAATGATGGCCAGCATTAATGAGACCAAATGACCTTCCTTCATTCTTAAATTCACTGCTTGTGCAACGCTTTGGCCTTTTATGTGGTTGGCTGATGGAATAGATTGCCATCAAAGATCTTACAATAACAAGAAAACATTCTCCGCGATTTTTGCACGCAAATCTTGTATCAACGTGGTGTAGGGTGCCCTCTCACAATTTCTATTACTTTGTAAATTTGACATCTATGGTCTTCGTGCAAATTCTGTAACAACCACTATGGTACCAATTAGGACGCCCTCTTGCAACTACAATTACTTTCTGTTTCTTTACATAAACCGCGGAGAATGCATTCTTGTTATAAGATCTTTGATTGCCATTAATGTGAGGCAGTGATATTTTTTGCTGTTGGCAATTCTAGGCTCATGTGCTTAAGCAAGTGAATAATTAATTATTATATCTAATGTCTATTAATACCTATGTAGCAGTGTCTTGCTCCATGTATAACTTCCACAGTAATGAATATTCATAATTTTTATTTATTTCGTAACAGGTGAACACTCTGCAACAGCTTGTCAATTTGTCAACCCACACTATGATCAAACCGCAGCTGCACGATGGCCGTGTTCGACTTCATGCCATGTGGTTTGACATCTTCACTGGTAATATGTTCATCTTTAGTTCTGAGTTGCAACGATTCATTGAGATACGAGAAGACACTATAGACCATCTTTTAAGTAGAGTAAAGCATAATGAATCTAAAGATCACATAGAAACACTAACAAACTCAGTAAAGATGTCAAAATAATATTTAAACTTAATTTGTATTTGGATTCTATAAACTATTTTAATGATACATTTTATTATATGTTTTTCATATAAAGTACATTCACCAAATTAGAGAAATACAGTATTAATTCAAAGTAATTACTATAACTGCCATATTTTGCCAGCTAGTGCAATCTCACTTTATAACCGGGCCCTCTCACTTCACTGTCGCCCACCCAACAGTCCCCCATTGTAATAGTTACGCAACTTCGTGAAAACCACTTCATTTCTTAATGAACTTTTGAAAAACCTTAAATGTCTATTTTTCATTCAAACAAAAAGGAGGCACAAATTATAAAGTTATACTGTTTATTCGATAATAAATCAAGCAAAATCTAATATAGTTAGATTGAGTTGTATACTTCTACAACAATAAATGCAATACTTTTTTAAACTCACATAATTTAAATTTTAGTTACTAATCAGAAATTATTTTTTAAATTTTTCAATTATAAATTTATTGCATATATATTTGGAATTGCATATTGCATGTTAGTGAAACAGTACTCGGAAATATGCAAAATCTCAGTTGTATAGGAGCCCAATTCATGTTGCGATTACGGTACATACAGGAACACAGCTTTTGTGAGATTGATACAGTATCTTCGTGTCGGTACTTGACTTAGTCCTTTAAGAGGTGTAGTTAGGGTGGGTGAAACCAGATTCAGTCTCAAGAAATAAGTTTTTATAGCAATTTGATCTTATAACCCATTAAACTTGCAAAAAACAGAAACAGGCCAAATATATGTCAGAATATATCCTGCAAATATACATTAGCTTCTAAACACAAAGTTATTCTGGAATATTTTAATCTGAATTGGCGTTCCTTAATCATGTTGAAAATATTACTTCTAATCATGAGTTTCTCAGGGTAACTATGTTTTCAGCGCCATTCTCTGCTCAATGTAAGCATGCACAATATCTTCTTTTTACACCAAATATTTATTGTAGAAGAATTTTCTGTTTCGTTTAATATTTACTTATTTATTGCATTTATAAATACATACATTTGAAGATTAAACCTTCATTATATTGAACATATTGAATACATTGCTTATTGTACTTTGCTCTGTTTTGTCATCCAATTGATTTTACAAGATAACTGGGTATTTAGAACAATGGAATGAGCCAACTGCTCAGAACTACCATTTTATTGTTTTTAAGATGTATCATGTAATGCCATTTGGAAAATTCACATTTTATTGTATACCTATAATATTAAATACTGATATTTATGATAAGAATACTGTATGTGTGCGTAAAAACACAATGAAATGTTGATTGGATTACAGTATACGAAACTGTTTATTTGAAACAATTCCTTAGTAGCAATATTTGCCGATTTTAGAATAGATAGGATGTTATTCATGTTTTGTAGTGAAGCTGTAGGTCGATTTTTTATATGCTTGCCTGCATTCCAGGGCCCATGCGTCTCATATCCTCCGATTGCCAGGATATTTTTCCTCACTAAACCCAAAAAGGAAGGAAGCTTTTTCTTTAACAACTCCACTCCCTAAAACCAAGGAATACAGTATACTATCAGATATTTTAGTCAAAATACTATAGTTGATCGGACTTTAATAAAGTAGAGCATTGTCCGACTTCCAACAGACATTATCAGTTATCTGTCAACGCTCTACATTACAACTCAATTAGCCAGTAAGCCCTTTAACGGCGAGCTCAGGTTAAGAGTTCTGACGGCGACTACATGTACTACCATAGGATCTGTGATACTACCATAGAGGACTAAACAATTACTTTATGATACTGCATTATCAAAAACGTATATATAAATTGTATAAGTGTTTGTCGCGTAAAGCTGGTTTTCCACTAGCGAATTTATTCGCGCGAATCAAAGCGTCGGTTCGCTTCCTGAGCTCTGATTGGTTGCGCATTTTTTTGCTTCACAAAATCTCCGATAGGGATGTGAATGCGCATGACCCGACGCTTTCGATACCGAGGTTGGTTTAAGTAAGCTGTAGTAAGTTGCGTTTTCTGACATTGACATCAGTGTGATGTAAGCCATGATCACAATATTGTCTGACAGGCGAAAGTCATATAGTGTTTTTGCTTTACAGTGATTGGCACAATACTGCTATCAAAATAAATATTAGATATGGTAGGTCTAGTTGTAATTTTAGAGATGCCCTAAAACCTCGAATTGAGAAGCCCAAGGGGTTAAATCTGCCCATCTGGCATTGAATCCCCCTCCTTATTTTGCAAAAGTAGCATAAAAAAGAAGCCCGTCTCGAAAGAAAGCCAATGAGCTTCTTTTCAAGAAAGCATGGGCTTTTTTAAAATTTTCTAGATATTACAGGATGTACACGGTACATGAATTTCAAAGATACAAAATAAATTAAAATCAAACTTGGTTTACACAGTAGTTTAGGTGATTTAACGCAGGTTAATACACTCCGTTATACAGAGGCCCTATTTAATGTTATATAGTAGTAATTCCCAAAATTTACAGCATTCATTTGAAAAGAAGCCCATCCCCCCTCTCTTAGCTTTACTTTGCTGAAGTAACCTCGGAAAGAAGTCCATCTCAAAAAGAAGACCATCCAAAGTTAGCATAAAAAAGGAAAAAAGAATCCCAGGGCTTTTCAAATCAAGGTATAGGCCTACGGTAATTAGCTAGCAGGTTGAAGTATTTGTTTGAATTTAAGCCTCTCGGTAATAATGAAACATAAACTGCAATAAAAAAGGCGTTTCGAGTAAATTTTGATGAATGTAACGATTGGACACTCTGTTCAGTCTTCACAAATAGTTTATATTGGCTATGTAATGAACCTATTTTTAGTGTCAATCAGACCATAGAGAAAATAGAAGCGTTCCGAGTAAATTTTGATGAATTTACTGTAACGATTGGACACTCTGTTCAGTCTTCACAACTATTTTATATCGGCAATGTAATGAACCTATTTTTAGTGTCAATGAGACTTAAAACAGTTGACCACTCAGAATAGAGCAACTCTGATACGCACGTATCCCACAAACACATGTTTGTGTACAATTAAGCTGTCGTTTTGTGGTACGTTGGCAACAACATCCAAGGGGCGGTGCTTAGGGAAAAACCGTTTGTTAATGTAATAAATAACACTTATACTATGATAAGTACAGTTATTAGTCCCTTTATGTCCAGGGATGAAATGCCTTTGGTTTTATTTTAACCTCATGATATTTATGTATTTCACTTCATAGGAAAGAATTTATTTTATGGGTAATAGTAAGGTTTTTCAAATTTTAATGGCATTTATTTTTATAAGTTCAGGACAAAAATTTCAGGGTATTTTTTCTTGTATTCCTACTGAATAGACGGATGTTTTTTTTTCTGTTAAAAACAATTATAAATGTATTAATCAACATGGTAATTTCCAAAGTGTATACATTACCCTTCTTTTTTGTTCCAATTCCGTGTCGATATAATAATTATGCCACGTGAAATTTGTTTTTTACAGATAGAGGGCGATCTTGCAACTCTGTCTTTTCCCATTCTTTACCAGAGTGTAAAAGATAAAAATCAATTTCGTAGTTCATCAAGAGTGGTAATGAACGACAGGCAAAATGCACAGTTCATCTATACAGTACTTGTAATAGGCTATGTTAAACTATGTTCATTTTTTTTTCAAATAACAGTGTATCAGATCACAGTGTCAAAAGCCCTTGACTTGAGTTCATTAAAAGTAAAACAATGGCACACACATACAAGTGATGTGGTTCTTGAGTAAAATCATATTAATGCAACCAAGGAGGTATGAAATAAATTATTTTATACCGCCTTGATACAACAATTTATCATCACACAGTGTATGTACATATATGTCAAAGATAGTATAAAATGATACATAGGTAATCTGGTAAGATTCACCTATGTATCATTCATTATTAGCGCATATGTAATAAGATTTTTAAAATGGTATGAAAATTTCAAATTGTGGTTCGCATAAGTACACCAATTATGTAAAATTTAATATAAAATGTCGATTTAGCAAAGAAAAGTATTTTACGTTGATACAAATTACCAATGTTATATCAAATACTGTATTATTATTTAAGTTAAACTGTCTAATTGAGGTGGTAATTTTTTAATTATTTAATTCTCAACCAACAGAGATGAAAACCTCCACTAATAGTTTGGAGAAAAACATACATAGACCTGTATAAGGAAACAAAATAAATGGTACAAGCTTACATCAAACAATCTTCATAATTTTAAGCTTAAACGAGGATAAACTATCATAAAAAAAATAATTTCATCAGAACTACTGAATTATATGTAACAGCTTTGAAATATGCCTCTCTTAGTAACGTCAACCCGACCAAATGGAACATAGATCAAGTTTTTAGTGCGAGTACAACCTAGGAACGTTTAGTTTAAACAAAGTAAAACATTACAATCAAATATAGTATTTAAACTTTTGTACAAAAAAAAAAAAAAAAAAAACACATCAAAAACAAATCTACTTTTTCTTAAGAATCAATATTTACAGTATAATCAGGACATGCTAAAAAATTAAAAAACCTACTTTGTATTCTATCAATACGATGGGCCCGAGTTGGAGAATTCGAGTTTGTAATAACAGAACAATACTGTACTGTACTCTAGGTGCGGACGAACAATCGTTTTATTGCTTTAATACAAACAAAATAGAGTATTCCCATCATTTATAAACCTACAGTTTCTCCCAAATCATACCCATCATTCGACTAGCATTTGACACAACATATTTAACATAACAGAAATTTAACTTGCTGTCAATAATTAAAACGCTTAAATCTTTGGCAAAAGTTTTATACAACATAAAATCTTACAAGGGTATAAAAGATTTCGCCATAAAATGTTGACAGGATGTAGAAAATAATCAAAATCCAAAATGCCATTGTCAAGTACTGTATATCACAGTGGTGTTGTAGCCCCCCCCCCTTTACAATTGAAGCTTAAAAAACAATGTTCTTGTAATAGTTCAGCAAATTTAATGTACAATTGCCTCAATTTCGTAGCCTCCAGGAACAATCGGGTCTTTTGAATCCCAACTATTCAAAGAGAACCATGAATTATTCAACCATGGCGACCGCTCCTTGCCATTGTATTCGATGAATTAACGTAAAGTCTTCCTCTATGAACCATCAATGATTGTGTTAGCATTACAAAAGAATTTGCTTGTCTAACCCCAAAGTGTCAAACCACAAACGTGTAGGCCTATGTGTAACTGCGATCAACCCGGCATGGCGTTCATGTTGAAGTATGCCTAAAAATAAGACCATTTACGATCTGCCTTCATTTTTTATAGTAACTCGTTTTAGTAGACTTCCGTGACAAGTTTATGGCATTTTTTCTTCAATTATTCACCTTCTGTTTCACGATTGATGGTGTACCCAAGGCCGTGTATACGGGCCCGTGTCAATAATAATGGTAAGTAGTATCATGGAGGAATTAAAGTAATTCCTTCATGGTAGTATACTGTACCTCCATAGCAGTAGGTATACTTTTGCTGTTCTAGCTTCAATCTGATACAATATTCTGAATAGTTAAACTTAAGCCTATGCATTGGTGACCCGTTTTCCTGTTCATTCATGAAATAAAACTACCGTAAAACAGCCTTGTGCTCATTTTTGAGATGGGCTTCTTTTCGAGGCTATTCGTGCAAAGTAAAGGAGGTGTGGGGGGGGGGGGGCTTCTTTTCAAATTGAATGCTGTACATTTTGGGAATTACTAATAAAACAATAAATAGGCCCACCGTAACATCAATCTGTATCATGTATCATTAAATTACCTAAACTACTGCATAAACCAAGCGTGTTATTAAATTTAATATGTTATTTTTTCACGTAGACCTACAGTGTATGTAATGTACTGTACATTACAGTGTATGTAATGTACAGTGCTATCTCGAAAAAAATAGAGCCCATGGGCCTCTTTCTGAGATGGGCTTTTGCAAACTAAAGAGGCGGATTCAATTCGAGATGGGCTTCTATTGGGATTAGGCCCACTGGGCTTCTATTCGATGTTTTACGGTAGTATTTTATGGGAAAATAATCTTATAAGAAATGATTGTCGAAAGAAAAAACATACTGTATTGGTTTGTTAGTTATGTTGTAATAAGTAAATTAATGCACTGAGAGGTAACAACCGATATTTACATATATAGGTGCCAGATTCCAAACTAGGCGTTAATTAATTAATCCATTTATCTTATCAAAATCAACATACAAATCACGGAAAAGAAAGTTTGGTACATACTCCAAGTATTGAAATGCACGTCATCGTGTTTAGATTCAATGTTTTGAATCTCTGGCAAATTTGAAGCAGGTTCAACCTTCCCGACAACAGTCGGCGATTGTATGGAAACCGAGGTCATCATTCCTGAATATTGAATCCCCACACGATGTGTGCATTTCAATACTTGGAGTATGTATTATACTTTCTTATCTAAGATCAATCTGTGGACCTTTCAGGTTTTGTAAAAATCACGGAAATTTCATAAAACCAGGGAACAGTGAAATTACACTGTTTCCTGATAAAACTGATAAAAAGTTAAAACAGATGTCGCAAAATTGCATAAAATTCAAATGAGAACAAATGAACATTGAAAAAGTTTAAAAACATTATAATAAAAGGTTAAAAATTATCTATATATATATATTTTTTAATGTTTTAAAATTATATATACACCATAGGCGGCGCTATACGATCTTTAGTTACAGAGGCCTTCACACACTGACGTCTCGCTGCTGAAATCGTAATGGCTTATAATTTTATAAACAATTGCCAAAAAAATCTATTACTAGTGACCAATCAAACATCCCCTCTATAAAAAAGCCATCTTTCTAGGTCCCTTTAAAAACTCCATAACGCCAATTTCAGCTCAAAATGTTCTTATTTTGTTCTTATTTTACACACTTTTCAAACATAGAAAATTATTATTGTACGGCAGTATACACTGTACTGGGAGGTGAAAGCGTCCCTGCAAAAGATGGCCCAATGAAACCAGGGGCGGATCTAGAGATGTCCAAAAGGGGGGCCGAAAGGGGGGCCGAAATTTGGGCCGATCGAGACAACAATGTCCTACGGGGTCCGAGGGCATGCCCCGCGAAATTTGTGTGTTCTAGACGCCCGAAAATAACGTTTGAAGCGTCCCGGGCTATCATTTTTTTCTTTTTCTTTCTTTTTTCTTTTTTTTACTTCCCAAAAGGGGGGTGGGGCCGGGGCCGGGCCGCCCCCCCCCCTAAATCCTCCCCTGGAAAGGCCCAGCAAAAAATGGCCCCGGTTAAAAAATGGCACCAAATGGGAGGTAGGTACACCTACTGTACTGTATTATAGAGGGTATTGCATAGTTGCACATAAGGTACTGATATAATTTTTTGGTTTTTCTAGTTTGACATTCTACCTCAGCCTCAATTTGTTCTTATTTTGTTCTTAATTTTTAGGCAATTTCAGCCTCAGTGTTATATATATAAAAAAAGTGTATAGAAGTATAGTTGTCTCAGGTCTACCACAGGTTAGTATATAGGCCTTACTTTTTACTCCATGGTGCCATTGGAAATACGGAGAGAGGTATTTTCGGGTCGCTGCTTCTAGACGCAGGGTTCCCGGAACGCCGCTCCGCCCTCAGCGGCGTGTGCGAAGCACAACTCTGAGTCAGAAGGGAACGTGAAATTTCGATAGTGGTTTCGTAGTCGATTTGCGAGAAAAACTTCAGCTACCCGTATTTCTCGACTGAGACGTCAGTGGGAGCTGTAATTTGTATGGCAAGGAGATGGTGCTACCCTTAATTCGTATTAAGGGAATTTACGCCCACAAACCTTGTAGTTATTAATATTTTGGTTATAATAGAAAATTTTTATATTTTGGTGATGTCACACTCACAATATAGTTTGCATGCATACGTCAAAAGCTAGATTACGTCACCTTTTCCTGGCAAGGCAAACTTCCCGGCGTGCTTTTTTGATGGATAAACAAACACCACTGCTTTGCACACGGATGCCTTGCCTAGCTAGGGCTACAAGAGGCGCATTGTTAGCATTGCATAATACTTAAACAACGTACGACTGCAACTGAATTATTCTTAGTTTTTTTTTTCTTATTTTAATTTATTTCTTTCGAAAGTGTACTTTCTATCACATATAATTGTACTGTCTACCTATTCTTATTATACCTCATCGTCCCCCGCTACACATTACATCAGTAGGCTAGCCCCCCCCCCGCTCCAGTACAGACGTTTGCTAGGCAACAGAACGTGATTGCACCTCCTTCCCAGGTGTTCTTGTAACATTTGCATATTGTTAGCTAACCAGTTGTGTGTATTTCTTTGTGAAAATGAGTACCGCGGCGTACTCATTTTCACAAAGCATTAGCATCCCCTCTTGGAAAGAGGGAACTTCGAAATAACTGTCTCCATAATTAATCACCGTAATTTAGCTTACACTTATGCATAGTGGGAGCACTTAAAATGTACAATAATCATTTCACTACCCGACAAACCCTTAACTTTATTCATGCATTACATAAATAGTTCCATCTTCCTGTACTCCAACGTCACATGGTAACAACCACTTGACTGCAGACCATTTCCGGTCGTGACACATTACTCTCCATTACTCTCCATAACGCAGCATCCCCTAGTTCCGTAACTTTCTATCTAGGCCTACATTCGGGAGTCTTCCTCGCTCTCTGTTTTCAAATATAGCCTTAAATCACACCCCTTTCTTTCTTTTTAATTTGTCTTTGTTTTTTGTTTACTTTTATTTTTTTTGTTAGGCAATTATGCTAAATACCAACATTATTCGAGCGCCTGCGAGTCATGTAGGCCTACCTAATAACCACTGCGTATCGGTGGTCTCAAGTTGCAGGTGAACGGTCTGTTTCGGTTATTTACTTTAGCATGGTAATATTAGTTAGTTATTAAACTTTAACGAAGTTTTCATTTAGGTAAGATGGAACAGATTGGAACTTTATTTTTTACATTCAATAAACCAAGGTTATCAAGCTCTTTGCCTCACGAGTTCTGGATCATTCTTTCATGATGAATTTAACCATACTATTTGCAGAACCTGGAGTTGTTATTAAATTTCCGTGTGATTGCTGAAAACCAAAATGGGCATGCGCAGTCAAAATGACATTGAATTAGAGCAGAAAATAGTATTTTTCTAGAATTTTCATTTAGGAAAAATGCTTGTATAGAAGAATTTTTATCTTGCAGAAATGGTGTTAATGGCTGTGTTATACAAAGTTTTCACAGGACAGAGACTGATCAAGTGACATTGCTAAGTAACTTATGGAAGGGAATTCTTTAACTTGGCATTCTTCAATATGTACTTGTTCCAAAAAGGATTGTTCAGTTTTGCCCAGGTGAATAGTTAACTTGTTATCTTTATATTAACCCAGACGGCAAGTCTCCAATTCTGTACTTAGACTACTCGCCAATATCGTGGGTCTTTACCCGACACCATCAGAACACTGTCGTCGGCATATAATATAAGCATAAGATTTACATTAATCGGCATATCATTAACATACCAGAGGAACAGAAGTGGGTAGTACTGTATACGTCTTTGTGGGACACCGTATGTTATGAAGTGGCTTTGATTCTGCTTTGTTGACACACATGAATTGTTGCTTGTTGTATAGATAAGATTTAAACCAAATTAGTAGATCCTATTTCCATTGCTTTTAATTTACATGTCAAGATACCATGGTCAACCGTATCGAAGGCTTGAAGGTATAACGATACCGTTCCAGAATAATTTCCATTGACATTTGAGTTTACGGATTTAGTCCGTCATATGTACCAAACATGAATCAAATTATCATTCCATGTTTTTTTTTCAGTAATTCGTCGTCAAAATCCTATTTAATAAATATGGTCGATCTCTTCTTTTGCGCCTCCATTCCTTCTATGAGGTTAATTGCGAATGTATTGCTGTTAAAAAACGGCAAACGAAAAACCAAAAACCAAGACTTATAAACTAACTAACTAACTAAGGCAAATATCTCACACAGTAAACATCGTTCTAATTTTATATATACTTAGTATCATTATTAGTATATAACTTATATAATATTTTTTATTTTCCCCAGATGCCGTACGTGTGAATCCAGGACACAAGTGATGTAGCAAACCTTACGGAGCCAAAAGGAGTAGAAAAGCATATTAATGTCCATCAACTTGTTGCTGTTATGATATCTTTGTAGAGACTAGCAATACAACCACCACACCGAATAAATCCAATCAAATACATATCATCATGTCCTTAAGACGTAGGATCATTTATTTTACTGCTCTGCTGAGTTCTATTTTCATATTCGTACAGGCAATACTATTTTATATCTCGATAACTAAAAGTGAAAGTACATCGGGCATTAAACGCCAGCTCTTTGAACAACCGCATGTTGCAAGTAACTTTCTAAAAAATAGTATAAATAACAAAACAGCGCTAAAAGAACGCGAACGCAAATTAACAATTAACGGAAAGCCCAAAAAGTCAGTCGTTGGAAAGTACTCAAAAACACTACAGAATTGGCCAGATGTCAGTGACATAGGAGGGGATTCAAGGATCCAGTATCACATCTCTGGTTCCGAGTTCCATAAACGCTGGGATGTCAACTGCACAAAGATTATAAATGGTGAGCAGCCGTATGTACACGACGTATACGCCATGTTAGAAGATCACAGAGACATTGAAAAGAACCTTCCAGTACCTGACGACATCGATGTATTAAGTTGGATGGCAGATTGCGATGAATACAAAGCTAGACGAAAATATCCAACTAAGCCCTTTTCAAAGGAAGAAGGAGATTTTCCATTGGCGTATATAATCGTAACTCACAAAGAGTCTGCACAGTTGGAGAGACTGCTGCGCGCCATTTATCATCCACAGAATGTTTATTGCGTTCATCCGGATGCTAAGTCGCCACATGCATTCCATAGTGTTGTACATAAACTATCTGAATGTTTTGATAACGTCTTCGTTGCTTCAAAACTTGAGAGTGTACAGTACGCCGGATACACAAGATTATTGGCCGATATTAACTGTATGGATGATCTTTTGCGCAGACCTGAACCATGGAAATATGCAATGAATATGTGCGCACAAGATTTTCCACTGAAAACTAATCTGGAAATAGTTCAGCAACTCAAAATGTATAAAGGACATAATGATATTAACGGTATATTACCCCCACGGTACATACAGAGCAGAACTCGATTCATATACCGCACGACGCTAACGGGAAAGTTAACTTCAACGGCTAAAAGGAAAACAAATCCTCCACATGGCTTGACGATATACTTTGGAAATGCGTATTACGCCGCAACACGACGCTTTGTAAATTACATCATCAATGACCAGGTAGCCATTGATCTCCTGAGATGGTCAAACGATACATATAGCCCGGACGAACACTACTGGGTGACATTGCAGAGGGATAAAAGGACTCCTGGTGGGTATCCTAACGCGACATGGGATGAGAATGTACGATTCATGAAATGGGGAGACATACCAAAACACCCACCATGCAAAGGAAAATACGTACGCGGCTTGTGTGTCTTTGGAGTCGGTTACATGGAATATCTGACTCGTCAACCTCATCTGCTAGCCAATAAGTTCTACTACAGTTTCGATCCTATAACCTTACAATGTATTGAGGAGCTACTTGATTACAGGACTGCCTATCCTGAAACTGTAAACATCTTTCAGAATTTTCCCATTACGGATATGGTGTGGCAAAACCATATTGCATTTTAACTCTTTAACCAGGAACAGAAAATCTAGGCAAATACAAATGCTATTTTAAACAGAATGTAGAATATTACATTTTAATTTGTAAGATAAACAAATCTATTACAAACGTTTGACACACATACTAAATGGAGAAATAGGCATATTCTGGTATCACTTGCAAATGGATTTTAATTATTTTCACAATATTTCGCTATATGGTCACTTCAAGTTTACATAATGACCCGAGGAAACCATAGTATATGAAAAATAAATTTTAATTGATTTTTTAAAGTGCTAGTCCATTATCATTTTTTGAAAGGCTCAGTGGTATTGGAACTTAATATAGCAACGCTCAGGCCCGTAGCCAGGGGGGTTTTTATGGGTTCGGGCGAACCCCCCTTTTTCAGCGAACCCCCCTTTTGCCAGCGAACCCCCTTAGCCAGAAAACGATCCCCCGTTTCCAAGATAGTGCAATTTATTACTCTTATACACATCTAGATGTGTATAAGAGACAGACCTAATAACCACTGCGTATCGGTGGTCTCAAGTTGCAGGTGAACGGTCTGTTTCGGTTATTTACTTTAGCATGGTAATATTAGTTAGTTATTAAACTTTAACGAAGTTTTCATTTAGGTAAGATGGAACAGATTGGAACTTTATTTTTTACATTCAATAAACCAAGGTTATCAAGCTCTTTGCCTCACGAGTTCTGGATCATTCTTTCATGATGAATTTAACCATACTATTTGCAGAACCTGGAGTTGTTATTAAATTTCCGTGTGATTGCTGAAAACCAAAATGGGCATGCGCAGTCAAAATGACATTGAATTAGAGCAGAAAATAGTATTTTTCTAGAATTTTCATTTAGGAAAAATGCTTGTATAGAAGAATTTTTATCTTGCAGAAATGGTGTTAATGGCTGTGTTATACAAAGTTTTCACAGGACAGAGACTGATCAAGTGACATTGCTAAGTAACTTATGGAAGGGAATTCTTTAACTTGGCATTCTTCAATATGTACTCTGTCTCTTATACACATCTAGATGTGTATAAGAGACAGCCTACAGTGTATGTAATGTAAGCACTTACAGTGGATATGCGCGCTATACAAATCATTATTATTATCTTCGCCATGAGATATATGTTTTCAGTCATGTAAAATGTGTGTGTGTGTGTGTGTGTGTGTGTGTGTGTGTGTGTGTGTATAACAACAGACTTTCAATAAATCACAATAAGTAACTTCATTCTGTTTCGAAGCCCCCAAATGTCACAATATCTTGACCTTTCACCCTTCAAGATCTATATCGATAATCATGACATAGCAATTGTTCAATATACCGAATTCTTAGGTTTCATCTTGATTGTGGTTTAACATGTAAGAAGCAGATAAACGAAATTATTCTTATTATACCTCTATGTCTCCTTCTCAATAATACCCCCATGGTTACACCTAGCGTATAACAGGCGTTTCCATGGTATAGGCCGTATTACGCGCTTATCACCATGAGAACAGACTGAAGTGACGCATGTAATTCCAAGTATTCTAAACATTTGAAATGATGCGCGGCGGCCTCTTCTCGTCTTGTTCTTCACAATTAGATATTTTATTTTTATTTTGTAGATATCTTTTGACTTTGTAACTACTTCCAGCTTTAGTCTAAGCTAGTCCTACGTCTCTATAGTAGGATCTATGATATGACCTTACTTCAAAATAGGCTAGTATAATTATATGGATCTCGGCCTAAGCCTAGCCAATCGAGAGTTATTTCTGAGATGATGTGGTGGTGTTCGCTATGGTAGGAAAATTGATTCTCTGGATGATGGTGAATTTTTCTTATTTTATTAATATCAGATTACAGGCAAGAGGTAATGAATCAGACCTTGTAATCATTTTATATAAATTGCCTTTACTATGTATTTATTTATTTGTTCTTTATTGAGTGGCTTTTTCAATAAATTTAAATAAACAAAAATTGATTCTCTGCTCGACGATGGTGTATTTTTCTCCAGGTATTTAGGCCTAGCCTAGAAAGTGGCCCTTTCAAACATAATAAAATAATGTTCTATTCAGAGGGCTTAGGTCTAGGCCCTCCTAGGCATAGAGACTATGGCCTGCAGCATCACATTAGTATTTACAGTTAGGCATAATGTAATGTGCCTTTTTTTAGAACAGCAAATACAACGCATGATAATACATAGTATTTAAAAAAAGATATTCAATAATTGTATTGTTGTATAGCGTTTCTAGATAGACAAGGGAGCTTGAAAGATAAACCGTTAATACAAATGGTTTCTTAAAAACAATAACACTGAATATTCTTCCTGAAAAATGCTAGAAGTATTCTGCTGTCAAGATGACCACTGGATGTACCACAATACGTCATTGCCATGCAACCACTTAGATCAAGGCGCCACTAGCGGTTATCAACAGATGCTGAGTTGGGCTGAACATCAATTTCCTTCTCAAGATGTTACAAATGTTTTCAACGAAAGTCTGTTGAATTTTATGATAAAGGAACAGCTTTGGATGGAAGCAGCAAAATCGGTTTGTGTTACACGTATAATAATATCTCAATGACTGATTTTTCTTTTACCAACAAACGAGGATACAATGATCCTCTATTTTAGGGCCTATTTTACATCAAATGACCATAGGATTTCATGCATAATCACAGATTTCCAATGCGTATGGTGCAACTTTTTAATCTTCAGTGCAACATTTTGAATCGATTTATTGATTGGCCTACACCTAAATTTAACGTGAAGTTGTGTACAGAGCTTAATATGCATTCCTTCCAACCACAGGGTTCTGGGTTCAGTTCCTGTCGATGTTACAGGATTTATTTTCACGACAACTCCACTCCCTAAAGCCAAATTTACCACACGACGACGTCATATCATCGCGTAGTTTGTATTCTTCAACACTGCGCGCATATGTATCGTGTCGTTGTCGTGTCGTAATCGAGTCTAGTGTAGGCCTAAAATGTGGCTTAAGCCCCATAAAGTGAAATGTTTATTTACAGCATCTTGTCCGTATGTTTGTCTTGTGACAGGTACTGCAACGTATGACAGTCATGTGCCTAAAAAATAAAATAAAATGAATAAACTTCTGTCTGTGACTTATCAGACTTTATGGAAAAACAACATAATATATTTAACACTATCCTATTCTACAGGACGCTGACGTTGAAATCTTCTGGATGGGTATGAAATTGAACCCAGCAAACAAGCTAAATAATCCCGAGACGGCGTCAGATGTGAACAATCCACTTAGCTCAATGTTTCTCGACCGTTTGCAAAATAGAAAGGCGCATGATCATGTTTGCGTGGAGGCTACGGCTATCACTAACGATACGACGACTTTTGCAAACGCTTGCTGGAGCGCTTACTTGGAGGTTCTATCTAAACCATCTGGTGAGTGCCAAAGTGATTTCATCCGTAGGCGTCCCTCAGTTTATGTTGGTTCTGTATCATAGACCTATTTAACCTAATAGCATATAATGGATAATATACAAGAATGGTATAACAAGAAACAGATTAAAAATTAACATTAAAAAAACTAAATGTATGCTTATAAAAAACAAACAAGTTGTTCCGCCCCATAATTTTAATATCCATTTTGGAGATCAGTCTATTGAAAATGTCCAACACATACGATACCTTGGACTAGGAATAGATGAAACTCTTACGTGGGAACACCACACTAAATTAACACTAACAGTTAGCTCTAAATACAATTTACTCTCAAAAATTGCATAGACTTAACTTTGAACGAAAATACCGTACTCGAGCGAATAAAATATTTTTTTTGCACTTTTTGAGGGGCGCTTATTCAAACGGGGGGCTTATTTAAACGGGGCGCTTTTGAAAACTGAGTGGAAATTGAGGGGGCGCTTATGGGAATAGACGAAAATCGAGGGGTTCTTATGGGAAATTAATAAATTCAAGAGGCACTTTTTGAATGAAAAAAGATTATATAAGGACATTACGAATGGTGGTTAGTCGAAAAAGATAATAATCGTCCAGAGAACGTAGCTCATGACAAGAATGCGTGAATATTTACATAACAGCAAAATAGCAGATGCAATTAGTGGTGGTGGGTAGTGGTTAGCTTGTTGGCCATCGGCCGATTAAGATTAGCAGGATGGCGAGATCATTGTATTTTTTCTTGAAAACTCAGATGAGAATGTGCTAAAGTTCGGAAATAGAAAAAGAGGACTAGGACTAGGCATAGACAAAATCTAAAAAGAGTAAAGCTGGAAATATACTGTCTGTCCAGGGATCGGAGCTCTCATCTGTCCAAGAGAAATATCATTTTGACCTAAGAAGAATGTGTTTCTACTCTGCAGCTCAAATCATGCCAACAACCACAGTCCCAGGATTGATTGGATTATTGACTTGCTAAAAAGAAAATCTTATGATATTAAGGGGCGCTTATTCAAATGAAATTCAAGGAAATTTTTCACGTTATTCGGAGCGCTTATTCAAACGGGGCGCTTTTCGCGCGAGTACGGTATGTTAAACAAATTATACTTAACTACAACACAGCCATGTATAGATTATAACATTTCAGTCTGGGGAAATACCAGCAAATAAATAAATAAATAATACAATAACTTACAGACTGCAAAAGAGAGCACCACGCATAGTTACGAATAACTTTGATTATCTCGATACATGTAGAGGAAATAATCGAAAATTTTTGTCATGGAAATTATTTTAAAAACGAAGGGATTATAGTATTGAATGTTTAATGTTTTAACGGCAATGCGCTTCCTAGACTTTGTAATGAAATAGAGATGGTATTTGATCGACACGGGTATGACACAAGAAATGCAGATTCACTAAACATTGTAACTCCAAAAGTGAATTTAAATATAACCAAGACTTCACTTAGATATGCTGGTGCAAATGTTTAGAATATACTGCCGCAGATATTAAAAGAATCGACCAGTTATTTTAATTTCAAATTAAACCGTAAGAATAAAATTCAATAATCTAAATTAAACTACCGCTTTTACAATATTCTAAATTGTACAACTTTTATCCTTGTTTTTAATGGTGTGACTAAGCTATTTATATTTCTTAAAACAATTTTACCATTCGTTTTACTACTGAATTTTAATATTTTAATATGTGATTAAGACGTGTATCATTGTTTTACCTTACCTTGTGAATTCTGTCGATGTATTTTAACGAAATTCAATGTATTCTATATTAATTTAAACATGACCATTTTAAAAGCAGACTGATACATTTTGTCTGAAATTGTATTCTGTATTAATTTATGTTTTAGATAAAAAAAATAAAAAAATAAGTAAAAAAAATAATAATAATAATAAAAACATGCATCTTGAAGTCGGTGTTAAGCGGTTATTGGCCAACGATGACTTTCGTAGCAATAAAAGAAATTGAATTGATTTGAATTGAATAAGATCCATTACATCTTCGGCCTGATAATTTTTTTTACAAATTTATGTAAAGAAATTGTTGCTATAGGTCCTAATATTTATCATGTACCGTATGTCTTGAATATAAGTGAATCGGTCAACATAGTAGAACAAATTGTCACGTTTGTTTTGTACTTTTTATGGTAATAATAATTTGAAAAAAACAGATTTGACGCTATATGGCCTATCGACAAATTAAATACACTAGCAGTTAAATGTATCATTTATAAGTATGGACTAAGAATTATCACTTATATCTGCAGTTTGTATAAATGAATGGACGTCCTGGTCAGATTGTGTGGATGGAATGAGGACGAGGGAAAGAGGATGCGCAGTCAGAGAAACTGGATGTATAACATACCCAGAAATAGGAACAGGAACCTGTGAACTACTAGGTAACAGCAACTTTCTTAACAACATATGAAACAAATTTCAACATAAAAATTAATCATTTTCTCTATCAATGAAATGATGTCACTCACTGCGCACGACGGTCGTCTGCCGACGCGATTCTATAAAGAAAACAATGCGAAGACGCGCGCGCAACGGATCGTTTTTAATGACGATCCGTTCGGACTGCCACCGACAATTAGCAGACGGCGTCGCGTCGTCTTTCGATCACAGAGAACGGAGTTGGATTCGTCGCGCAGTGAGTGCCACCCGGCTTTACATTCCTTATGAATCTCAATTACATGTACATAGTTGCTCATTCATATTTATCAAAACTATCAAAATTTGGCTCTAAAAGACGCTGCAACAGAACAACAGGGGGAGAGAGAGAGAGAGAGAGCTTCTTTATATCAAATAGTCACAATAGACACACATGGTTTAATCTGGCTAAATATTTAAGTATGATACAGCCTTAAGCTGGGTACTCACTTTGCTCGACGGTCGTCGGCCGACGCGACTCTATGAAGAACGCAAAGCGACGACGCGCGAAATTCTAGAATTTCCCCGACGGGGATCCGAAGTCCCCGACGGGGGCGAGGGCTAATGTCCCCGACGAGAAAAAAGTGGGCGTGGTCGGGCGGCGAAAGTGGTCCAGGGAACGTATCCCCCCCCCCCGAAAATAATGAAAATTTAGGGGTTTCAAAGGCTAATTTAATCGACTTTAGAGTCTATTCTATAGTAGTAGGCCTATTAATATGTACAAATACATATATTTTTTAAATTTTTTCCCCCGACGAATTGTGGTTTTTCTGGATCTAGGGGCCGTTTTATTTTGGATATTTAATAACTAAACAAATGATCTTAAATTTTCCTATCGTACGTTAGTTTTTCATAGGCACATTTTATTTTCTCCATAGAACTAATTTTTCCTGAAAATGACACAATTATAGCGACTCCCGGGGAGAGACTTAGAATGAGATTTAGAGCTAAGGAGAACCCACTTTCAACGGTGATGTTTCAATTACCTTATGGGCCAGCCTCTGCCACACTGACAACAGACGGAACCTTTGATTGGTTGGTTCCCAGCGGCACATTCGTTGATGAGGATATTTTCGTTAATGTATTACTCTATAACAACGACGGCCATCAGCGCAACATTAATTTGACTGTGGAAATCATAAGTTGTCCATGTGTTGGAGGGTACGGAGTATGCGTAGAGCGAACTGGGGTCAGTCAAGGGCTGGGTGTTTATGATTGCGATTGCGAAGTGGGAAGGTTTGGTAAGTGAACAATACCAAACACAAATAATTGTTAGCTGAAAAGTAGAAATAAACAGGCAAATAATGGCTTTCATGTATAAGATTAAATTGGTAACATTTGCTGTCCCTGTAAACTATATCATGACGTATGGCCTGCTTTTACGCCATTTACCGCAGAAGTATATTTTCACCTTATAACCCTTCCGCTGTACATGTATGAAAAACGGTAACGGCAGAAATCATGTTGACCAGTGTCCATCAAAAGAGGGCCCAGTTTTTGTTTTTGTTTTTTTAACAATAATAGAGAAGTGCCCAGGGAAACTCCCACATTGAATGGGGGATTTGAAGTAACATGTACTTTTACGATCAAAAGTAACTAAAGCATCACTAGTTGTCAGCTACTTGCCGAAACTATACGGAAATTTTATGCGACTCACAGGCGATGAGAATGTCTATGTAACAGTGGTTAAGCGTTGGTTAGTACGGTACCAGTTGCTAGTCGGACGTGACGTAAGTACTCTGGGAAACCAGTTAGTTCTTCCAGCCCAATACGCCTCTGAGACT